CCATCGACCTTATGAACTTCTTCAGCCACTACTTATTCTAGAACAACTATGGTCTTTCATTTCTATGGATATTATTACAAATCTTTTAATCTTAAGTTTGTATAATTTTATATTTGTAATAGTAGACCGTTTTACTAAGATGGCACATTTTGTAATATGTACAAACTCTATCAAAAATGAAGAAATAGCAAGGCTTTTCTTTGACAACATCTATTACTATCATAGTTTGTTTAAAAATATTATATCAGATAGGAGGACTTAATTTATATTAATATTTTAAAAAAATCCTTTTTAAGATTCTAAAGGTGGATATAAAGCTTTCTTTTACTTTCCATCCTTAAATTAATAGGCAAATGGAATGGGTGAATCAAGTTCTTGAGCAATATTTGACATGTACCATCAACTATCATCAAGATGATTGGACAATTCTTTTGTCATTGATAGAGTTTGCCTAGAGTAATTTCATATATTTTTCTACTCAAAAAACACCTTTTTTTTGCCAATTATGATTATCATCTATGACCTCATGCTTTTGATTTTTTTAAGGTTAATGATCCTATAATAGAAGATTTGGCAAGTCGTTTATTAGAGCTACATGCAATAATAAGGGCATAATTAAAAGAAACTCATGAACAACAAAAAATCAATGGAGATGCTTATTGCAAAGAACAATCACAATTCAATGTGGGTGACAAGATATGCCTACTTTGTCACTATATCAAGACTATTTATTCTTCTGATAAGTTGGACTATTGTAGGCTTGGACATTTTTTTATTTGTGAACAAGCCAATCATGTTATTTATCAATTACATCTATTAGAATTCATAAAGATCTGTCTTATATTCCATATGTCTCTTTTTAAATCATATAAGATAATGAATATCTTAAGATGAAGACAAATGCTACCTCCTCCAATAGAAGTACATAATAATCAAGAGTTTGAGGTAGAAGAAGTTTTAGATTTAAGGCAATTCCAAAATAGATTAGAATATCTTATTCATTGGCACAGATATAATATTAGTGAATGCACATGGAAGCCAATAAAAAATCTTACAAATGTAGCAAAAAAGATTGAAGCTATTTATTGACAACATCCATTAAAAGCAAGATAAAGAATTCTAAGATCCATAAAAGATGATGATTGCTCCTTATGAAAGTTGTTCTTAGAAGAAGACATAATATTATGGACATACATACTTATTCTAATATTTATCTATATGATTAAATAAAAGTACGTAAAAGTAGATTTATTTCATAATATTTTCTAGAAAAGCTTCTTGAAAGCTTCATATACATTGGTTTGACTTTACATGTATTTTTAGTTTATTAGTAGATTAAAAACTTTATCAAAAAATTAACCACATGTTAATAGCATGTAGAATAAGTTAAATATGTGGCAAACATATAAAAAACTTATCTTGCAAGTTAAGAGACATGTCTGGCAAAGTCAATACATTTTGATGGTCCTATAGGATATGGCTATATAACTTATAGTTAAGAGTATATATGGAAGCAAGAATGAAGCCTTCTTCATTCTTGTTAATGCCTTCCTAATTCTTAGTTTTGTTTCAGGATTTTCTAATCTTTTTGTCTTTGACAATATCTATTTTAGTTTAATACTATATCATCTTTTGAGTGATTTTTTAGTCTTTTCAAGTGATACAAGAGTGTATTGATGTTTTGGTTCTTTGAGGTTCATATCCTTGACAAAAGATGGTTATATAGACTATTCTGTATAGCAATTTGAACTATGTAGTAATGTTTATTGTATGAATGTTATAATGATTTTAAATAGTGTTATACAATGTAAGAAAGAATCATACATCTCATGCCAAATCAACAAATAGGAATGGATAAGATATAGATTCTACAAAAAAAAAACAAAAACAAAAAAAAACAAACAAACAAAAACAAAACAAAAAAAAAACTAAATTTGAAATAGATAAAATATGCATTTATATTTATATAATTTAAATATTTTTTTTGAAATTAGAATCAAGATATGGCTTGACATGCTTTGACTTGTGATAAAAGAATGATTTGATCTATTATATGGTCTTGTGTTAGTTTATACTATATCAAAAGATCAAGATTGTAAAAGCAACGAGCCTTAAAAAGACTTTTATACCATAAACTATCAAAATGAATTTGCATACATAAAGAATTTTAATTTGATTTTTTGAGAAAGAGGAAATTAAAAGCTTAAGCTTAAAAGTTGATGCAATATAGATGATGTTGTAATGTTTTGTAGAAATAGAATAAAATGTGATAATCTTTGACAAATATTTTTTTTCTTTCATAAACATAGTTGTTATTCTACTTATAAACTTGGCATAGCTATAGTAGACATAGTCTAAGTTTAAAACTATTACCATGTGATTTAAATTGAATTTATTATGAAATTATATTCATTAATTTGTAAGCCTATAATACAACTATTGATTTTTTACTACGAAGTTCTTTGCATATTCCAATAATAACTAAAATTATATATAAAAGTATATAAATTATATATAAAAGTATATAAATTATATATAAAAGTATATAAATTATATATAAAAGTATATAAATTATATATAAAAGTATATAAATTGTATATAAATTGTATATAAAAGTATATAAATTGTATATAAATTGTATATAAAAGTATATAAATTGTATATAAAAGTATATAAATTGTATATAAATTGTATATAAAAGTATATAAATTATATATAAAAGTATATAAATTATATATAAAAGTATATAAATTATATATAAAAATATATAAATTGTATATAAATTATATATAAAAGTATATAAATTGTATATAAATTATATATAAATTATATATAAAAAACCAAATTACATATAAAATTAATCTATAAAAAAAATTATATAACTTAAAGATAATTTAGTATATATAATAAGAAAAAAATCATCTTTGGTACATGGTATCATCTTAGTGAAGTCAATGTGAGAATAATATTTAATATATTGATATTACAAAGAAATGATATCTTTGGAATGATTTAAAGAAATATAAAAATTCTTTTAGTATATATAAATTAGAGATAATTTTTAATCAAAATAAAATTTTTAATCTATGCAAGTAAAATAATAATAATATAAAAACCAATTTGAAAGAAAAGAACTAAGAATTTTATTTTTATTTTTATTTTTATTTTTATAAATGGATATATTTTATTAAAGTAGATAGATATTCTACACAATATGACAACTAATCTTAGATGTATTATTGCTTGATGTGTGGTTTTCATCAATTGTTAGACCATAATATTCGACTTCACAAATAAATATTTTTTTCTTTATCTTGCCCCCATTCTAATGCTTGTGATCAAAATTTGACAATAAACTTATAATTCATATTGCCTTAGTAATAACTTAAGCTTCAAATTTTTCTTATTATTTGTAGCAATATTAATATGCATTATATTTCTTTTCGATTTTGATAATTGAAGTCTAGAATCAATCTATCTTGAGGTTCTATGGTGGCATAGTTTTTGTTGAACTAAACAATCAAGGTCCTCAACAACATTGATAGCTACCTTATCAACCAATTGGGATGCAATAATAATCAAATTTGAATGAAAAATTATCAATTCTACTTATGAATAATATAACTTAGCTTCAATCAAATGAGGAGGTATTCTAGGTCTTAACTACGTGTTTAAATGGCAAGAATAATGGATTGTATTATGAGCAAAGAAAGAAGCAATTTTTATTTAGGTGATTTTGTACCAAGGATTTTTTTTTTATATATATATATATATTAAGAGCCAAAGATAATTTTTGTATTTAATCAAATTGTTGCATGTAGAATCATACAACTCCAAAAGTAATTACTCGCAAATTTTGGAAGTATGCACAAGCAAAACATTTATAGAAATGAACACCTTTAATAATGAAAAAAGTTATTACATATTTTATGTTATGTAGATTGTGGTGGATTTTTTCAAAAAATAAATACAAATAAGAATTTAGACGTTGTAAAAGTTGATGGCTTTTGGAAATAAGACATGGACTAACAAGATGACATACCAAAAATAAATATGGCTAGGCCATTTAAAAAGAGATCTAGAAAATATAATACTCTAGTGCCTTAATATTAAACAAATGGGATAGACTATGGATTCTAAAATTAGATTTTTAGATTTGGAGCAGTAAAACCAAAGCTCTCCTTAGCAAATTAGTAATTCATAATTCAAATGGAGATAGTGGAACCATTCAAGCTAAATGTATAACTATCACACTAGAAAAAAAAATTAAATTTCCTCCAAAAATGAAATCTTAAGATGTTAAAGACTAATGTGTTTTGGCAATATTTAACCATTGTAATAATTATATCCTATGTCAATTAAAAAAAAGAAAATAGAAAGAAAAAAAAATTGACAAAATTAATGTATAAAAGCAATGTTAGTTTGAGTTTTAATTATCCAATCACAGATGTAATTAAATGAATATTCTTATCCTTCAAAAAAACATTATAAAGAAATGTCTAAGAATAGGTCTTTTTTTCTTTTTTCTTTAAATGCATAAAATAAATAATATGTGAAAATTTAAGTTTCTTGTATGTTTTTCTTTTTCTTTTTCTTAATAGATAAATAAAATTTTGATGTATTGTAGGAAAAAACTTTGTGATGTTTAAAATAGAAAACTGATAACTTTTTGCAACTGAGAACTGTTGGCATTTAAAAAAAAAAAAAAAACAAAAAAAACAAAAAAAACAAAAAAACAAAACAAAACAGAAATTTTTACCATAAAATTTTCATTAAATTAATACGTATATATTTAAGATTAAGCAATTAGATTACCAAAGTACTTAGATTATCATTTCACTCATTCAGTTTTTCATCCTCTTCACTCTCAGTTTCTCCATATTAACGGGGGTAAACTAATTCGCGAATCACACTATTTTGAATAAATGGACAAATGATACGGTCCACCTTCTCCATGGTGTGAAAAGGGATGGAATAGATCTTTAGTCGGCGAATCCTCCGGTACCGACAGCAATGCTTCAACGACGATGTGTGGAAATTGCTATTCTCAGGCCTCCGATTGCCCCAGTGTCTTGAAGTTTCACACAGCACCAACCAGAATTCGAGGTTTTAACAAGTTTTTTCATGCACAGAGGCGTGCGGAGAGTAGCGATGAGCTGGAATTTATTGTTGCCGTGACGAAATCTCGAAAGATTTAGGGTTGGAATTGAAGATTTTCTCTGCAGAGGGATCTGTTGCGGTGGGATTGCAGTTGGATGGGACGAATTTTGATGTGGTATGATTATTTGATCGTGTTTAGCTCATGCAGAACTGCTTCCGTGCTTGATCACGGACTGTGACAATGCTTGGTTTTGGAATCTTGTACATTTTCGGAAATGAATGTAGAGATCGCCGCTCACTTTGACGATGATTTTTGTAGTATGATTCGTGCTTGTGTGATCGCAGTGAATTCTGCGTACTGGCCTTGACTCTTTTTTTTATTTGCTTGTTTGTGTAGAATTTGAAGCTTAATTCGGTCGAGTCTGAAGGGTGGGTAGTGTTGGTTATGGCACGGACATGGAGCTCCTGGGTTTTGGTCACGACGCTAGTAGTGTTTGTGGGTAGTGTGATTGCGGAAGCGGCACCTTATGTGCGCCCACCCCCTCGGAAGGCACTCTCGTTGTGGGGCGGTTGTGCGAAGGACTCGGAAAATTTACAGGTGAATTTGGGGTCATGATGTAAAGTCTTTTTTCTTTTTTCTTTTTTTCTTTTTTTCTCTAAACCCTCTGTTGCTAAAATACTCATTCTCTTTTCATCAGCTTCCACCTCAAATCTTTCATCGTGATATTGTGCACAATTACGAAGTGTCACCTTCTTGATCTTGTGTTTGTAATGATGATATAAGCTGTTTCTCCTGCTTTTCGAGTAGACAATGATGGTGATAGGCTTATTTAGGAGTGATAAAAGTTTATTAACACCACTTTGTAGATTTCTTTGCAGCTAAATGATAGGGTAATTTGAATCAGTGAATAGAGCATTAAGCAGTTAACATCTACGTGGTCACCTTGCAATATAGGATTGTAGAGAATTGTTTAGAGCAATATCATAGGGGTTTGAGCTTCAGTTGTGTCCAGCATAGGCTATTGAGATAACACTGAGAATGTTCACTAACACACACGTACACACACTTTCGTTTGTTATTTGTTTTTGAATTTCATGTAAAGAGAGAATTTTGAATTTCATGTAAAGAGAGAATTTTGAACATGACTTCATCTGCTATTGAGGTTGTGCATGAGAACCAATCGAATGCAGTTATTAACAACTATTCATTCATTCACGGGACTAAAACTTAGCATGTTGTTTTGGGTGTATGCAAGGTGCATGTGTCATTAGCGGGGGCAAAGCACATGAGAGTATCATGGATGAGTCCTGCAAATGGTAAAAACAAGACACCAGTGGTACAGTATGGGTTAACGTCAGGGAACTATACCTCTACGGCTATTGGAACGTCAGAGAGTTACTCTTTCTTTCTATACACGTCTGGGTTGATGAATCACGTTGTGATTGGTCCTCTAGAAGACAGCACAATCTATTACTATAAATGTGGAGGTGCAGGGAAAGAATACAAGTTCAAGACCCCTCCACCTGTAGGGCGGAATGTTCCCATCAAGTTTGCAGCTGTTGGTAAGTGTTTCATATTTACGCTTCATATATCTTACTCTACATCAATGCATATGATATGCGAGGAGGATAAGTAAACGATCGACAGGAACTTACTGTAGTGGAGTTTGCCTTATCCTTTTCATGCTTGTGTTATTTCGTAGTAACCGCAAGTGTAAGTAAATTGCATTTACACTCTTTTTGTGATCTGATGTTTCAAACACTTTGGAACAAATCATTAGGATATGACTTCTTTCGTTTATTTGTGAATTTATCTATGCAGGGGACTTGGGTCAAACTGAATGGACGAAATCTACACTGAGTCACATAAACAACTCTAATTATGATGTCCTGCTATTTGCTGGAGATTTATCGTACGCGGATTACTACCAGCCATATTGGGACTCATTTGGCGAGCTTGTTGAACCTTATGCTAGTGCTAGACCTTGGATGGTGACAGAAGGGAATCATGACGTTGAGTCTGTTCCGATTCTTGTTGAATCTTTCCGTGCTTACAATACCAGGTGGCAGATGCCTCACAATGAGAGCGGATCAGATTCTAATCTGTTTTACTCCTTTGAAGTTGCTGGGGTTCATGTGATCATGCTGGGCTCATACACAGACTACGATCCAAAATCTGCTCAATTCAAGTGGCTACAAGTATTGGAGTTTATACCTGTCTCTGTGGATGTTTTTTCTTTTAATTATGTTCGATCTTGTTGCGTTCTTTACGTTGCCATCGTCTCCGTGTTTTTCGCTTAGAGCACGATTTTGCAAATTTCAGGCAGATCTTAAGAAGGTGGACAGAAGCAGGACGCCATGGCTTATTGTTGTTCTACATGCTCCGTGGTACAACACAAACCATGCTCATCAGCATAATGGAGATGCCATGAAGAAGGCACTGGAACAAGTGCTTTATGAGGCTCATGTGGACATCCTTGTTGCGGGTCATGTTCATGCCTACGAGCGCACGGTAAGCATGCTTGCATTGGAATTTTTTCTTTCATGTGTCACGTCCATTGTCAATGTCGGATGGCACATGCATAGGTGTCTTTGTTGACTTTAGAGCACGCAGGTATTTTCAAAGTTGAGAAGGTGTCAATTATTCGGACTTAATTGCATGCTCAAATTAAAATATGAAGTGTTAGTGCTGGGTTCTTTTACCTCTATTTTTGTTACTGGCTACCTCTGATGAGCTTTTTTTGCCGGGCTTGGTTTGTTGCTCTATACTGACTACACTACCCGGCTGTAAATTGTGGAAACCAGACACGGGTCTACGCGAACAACGTGGATCCCTGCGGGATTATGCACATTACCGTAGGTGATGGAGGCAATCGAGAAGGTCTAGCTAGAAAGTTCGTCTCTTACCCTCAAAAGCTGAGACTTTTAGCCACTGTTTTATAGATTAGGGTGGTGATTCCTGCTTGTGACTGACCTTTTACCATTGCAACATAGCCAGGATCTGCCTGTTAGTTTGTGCTATTAGATTAATCAAACACTGCTTTTGGGATATGAACATTGAGGTCGTTGTTGTGAAAAACAATTTCTTGAGTAAGAACTTGGTATTGGTTTTGAAGCTTTCTTGCGGATTATGTACAGGTTCTATGCAAACTCACCAGACTGGTCTGTATTCCGAGAGTCAAGTTTTGGACATGCGGAGCTCGACATTGTGAATGCTACTCATGCACATTGGACTTGGCACCGCAATGACGACGATGAAGCTGTACTTGCTGACGAATTTTGGATATCAAGCCTCAGTGCTGGTCATTCAGAATGCTCCTTCCAAGAACCTAGTACCAGGAGGATTTTAAAACCTGGTTCGCCACGTTTAGGGAAAGTTATATATTAGTCTGTTTGACCAACATTAGCTTTGTATATATTTACCACTTCACGGTTATCATTCCTGATTAGATTATCTAAAGGAATGTAGCGTTTGTAGGACTGAGACCATTCCGGATTGAAATTGCAAAGATGAATCGTCAGCCAAGTGAATCATCTTAATTCTGTTATTACAAGACAAGACTAATACTCATGTTCCATTATGTGGAATATATTGTGATCATTATGGTCCTTTTTTGAAGTGCGGTCTTTGGGACTTATAACGTAATATGTTGAATAAGTAGGTGTTTTGATTCTAACCACTCCACAAAGTGGGCTGTCAAGCTTGTCAAGCTATAGAGTCTGTTTTCTTCTTGCATCTTTTGTCCTCTTTCTTCCTCTGCAGGAGTGGTGAAGCAGATTGGCATTTAAATAAAATCATGTGAACCCATTGATTAGCAATGATTTAATTTTAAGGTTTTTCTACTCTCAAGATGCTCACAGGTTTCCGAATCCTACACGGAATCTGTACGCACTAGTCGTCTACATATTATCTTATTTCTTGTATTATGGGATATTTGCACATGATGTTGAGAACACATTGCATGTAAAAACACATGTGCAAGAAATGAAAGATACTGTGTTTCTGCGATCTACGCAGATTTAGGGTTTCGAGTTTAGGATTTACATTGCCCATGAGCGGTATATATAATTGGTTCAGTTCTTGTCAAGAGGCAAGGATGTCAACCTACATGAGTTTATGGCCTAAGAATAATGTCTATTTTAGGAAATACTATTAATTAAACAAAAAATATTAGTTAAGAGGTATAAATTATGTAGGATACTATTGTATATACACACATTAATCTTTATACATTTTTAGAGAATTGTTAAAATGACCCAAGCATTTATTATCCATCCTAACCATCATCAAAAAAAAATCCACTACTAGATTTGTGTTAGTTAAAAATCAATAAAAAAATGATTGGATCCACAACCAATGATGATGGGTGGGTTGATTTAGTAAATTCATTGATCAATTTGACAATTTCTTTTTTTATATATGTGTATGAATATATATATATATATATATATATGTTATCAATATTTTTATAATATAGAAAAAACCATAATGTCTATTCTATAATCATACATAGGGTTTTCAATATAAAAATATCAAACCCCACATTTCATTGTTAAAGCTCTAAATTGAATATTTCATGAAAACAAGTTTGATGAAAGACAAGTTGCAAATAAAATGTAAGATTCAGCGCAGAGTAATAGAAACATCATCCAAATGACCGAAATCATCCATTAGGGTTTCATCAATTAGGATTTCATCCATTCTACAATTGGTAGTTAGAAAAAGAGAAGTGAATATTTGCTCGCGCTCAGGAGATCGTTTGTAAGGGTTTTGTCTTCATTGCGAGTAAAATTCTGGCACTGCGACGCGAGAAGACCCCACCGCAACGGCACACGACGACGACGTCGCCGCAACGCTGCCTTGCTTATCGAACCCTTTTTTCTGCGAGTCAGAATCCATTGCTGCAAGAGAAAGGACATGGCTTGACGATTGCTACCTCTCGCATCGCAGCCAAGCTGTGTTGAAGCTGAGCGTGCGATAGTCAAATGCAGAATCAACGGCAGCTCTTGGGGCCTGATCGAGGGACTGGCGGCCCCGCGAAGCATCAGTGACATCGCGATATCGATCTGTAACGTACACAAGCCACGTTTTCTGTCGCTGTGAGCTGGATAGCGAGATCGAGACATTCTGCAATGAGTTGCTGCAGGTCCAAACCATCGCAAACCCGTGACGAGCATCGCCGCATAGCCGGCGCTGATCAGACATCCCTCCTGATCGCCACGAGACTTCTCAGGTCCAGGTCACTGGATTTCCTTCTCCCTGCAGGTCGGGTTCACGTGCGATTGACTTCGAACAACGCGACTGGAGCATCGCTGCAGCGTCGCGTCGGACAGCACTCCGGTCCGAGTGAGTACATTTTGTATGTTCCCGTCAGGCTGGGCCGATCGGTCGTTCGATCACACGCTTACACGGTGGTGGTCATAACCACGAAGGCTTTCTCAGACGCAAGGCGCTACAGTCAGTCCGACGTCACGAAACACATGTTTCACATACACAAGGCTAGCATCGGCACCCACACAGTCATCATGCTCATGATAATAACAATAACAATGGTTATACACTTGATATACAGGCTTTTCGACCGAGTAGAAGGTCTTTGTAATGGTAGATGTGGAATGTTTATAGTTTATAAACTCGGTTGTATCGAAATGGAAAAGAAACATGCATTGAACATGAGCGATTTTAGATTCTCTGTTAAATTTTCTTACTAATTAAAGTAGGTCGCGTGCAGACCTTCAGATGAACAATGAATATTTGTTTGTGATCCAGATGTATACTGAGTTTTGAAACTCGCGCACTAATTGTTTCAATAGGTTTATGGTATAAGTAAGAATTTACTGGGTACGATTGCCAAATCACTATTATACATTTTGAGTTGTTTCTGTATTTTTGTTTTCCTTACTTCAGAATTTTCACGTAAAAATGATTTACAATTTACTTTGAAAATTAAACTTGATTCTTGAACTTTATGTTATGAAGCTTGAACAATAAATAGCGTAAGAAAATATCTACTAAGAGGTACTCGAAGTTTTGAAAGCAAACTGTTTTCATCTTTTTATCTTGCATTTTTTATAACATGATTAACAGCAAACAATATTTGCCATCAACACAAAATGAATGCAACAAAAAAAATTAGAAAAAATAAATAAATAAATAAATATATTTCAATGGTTATCACAACATTCTATGGTGATTGGACAATTTAACAATAAACTAGTTTTCGTAGAAGAACGACCTCTGAATTTTAAAATATATATATAGAAAAAATCTCACAACATTGAATGGCTTCACATGTATGAATCATATCCATGCTCTCCATATCAGCCACGGAGGTGAAGAATATGTGACAGTTCGTGTTACAAGACTCGTGTAACAGATGCATTGTCTAGCCTTGTCAAGGTCCACGTCTAGGCAATATTCCGCTTAATTCTTTCCTCCAAATCTAGAATCTCACGATGCCGCAATTTGTGAGCATCTATCATTACTCTTACGTTGGGATCAATGATAATATACTTCAGTCACGATGAATTCGGTGTCCAAAGAGTGAGTTACAGCGATCGGATCAGATCAGTGATCTGAGGCGACGATCGCTAGACAGCGGGACTCGGCTGAGATCAGAATGATCGCGGCTCTTCCTGTGCTGTTCACCGAATTGCTGCACGGCGGTGTAAAGGGATCAACGCGAAGGGACCTTCAGGCTAGGGACCATCTCTGCACTTGGACCTTTCCTGATTTTAACTTGCCACTGTGGGTTTCGGGGGAATCAAACATGAGGAATGGCGTGCGTCAACAGTGTGGTTCAATGGGGGAGTAGCTCTGAAGATTGCTCCAGGTTGGGGATTTATACCGTCAGAACTGCAGTCTGGGATCACTGCAGTTCACCAATCTGGGAGCTCAGAATCTGGAACTGAAGTGGTTCTATCCGTAACTTGCGACGTGCCATCTGAATATTTGGTGTTTCTTTTTTCTGAATGATCAGCCGCGCTTAGGGGTGCTGACGAATTGGTAATGTGTCGACTATTATATTCAGCACTGTATTTTCCTTGCTGTTGCCTACTGCGAGTAGTGAAGGATCTTGAAAAGCCTATTCTAGCTTTAAATTCAGGCGGAGAGCGCTCGTGGAAGTCCCATTCAAGACAGAGGTTCGGAAAGCCAAGTGGCTCAGGGCTGAAAATCGACGACGTTGGAGCTGTATTAGAATAGTTGTAGTTTCTTCGAGTCCTCGCAAGGGCTTTGGAGATATGTTGTTCGTGTAAATTTGAGATTATTGGACCTAGTTCACATGATTTCAGCTGAAACTGAAATCCGCAGTTAAATCCTCAGTAGGCATGTCGCTTTCCGGGAAGGATGTATAAGCGGACGGTCGATGATCTTGGATCGTCTGCGATAGTGCGGGATTCTCAGGTTACCTCGGAAGGATCAATAGACTGGAATGAATCAGGTGCCCGCTGACGCTGTGCACTTCGGCGGCAAGTCAAGGTATATAATTAGTTCAACAATATCAGGTTGCAGTAGCTATGGCAGATCCGAAGCCTTGTGGCAAGAAGTGCTTGGAATTCACAGTGTCCAAATGGGTATCAAAAGTCGCGCCGTTGACATCAGGACAACCAGCTGGGTCGATGAATAATACTCTAAGTGTAACAAATCAGAAAACGCTCTCCGCAACAGTTGTGTTCATTGTCTTCGCGTTTGCGAGCCTTTTCATAATTTTTCTCTGTGGATTTTTACTGCAACGGAACCGGCTGCGCAACCAGAGATCGGATACGACAAATGTAGTCGTGGTCCAGCCTAAAAGAGAAGAGCAAGAGCAGGAGGCACTCAACGAGGAAGGAAAATGGGGCGCCGGCTCGGTGGAACTTGTGGTGATGGCTGGCGAGAAAACCCCGACTTTTCTTGCTCACCATAGCCTTTCGCCATCGACCACTGCCATACAACATCCTCCTCGCAATCTTTCCACTCTGTAGTGTCTACGGACTCTCTTTCCTACCAATTCTGTTTTCTACCTCTCGATCACCTTTCTTGTGTGCATACACTCACCCCGTCCACCCCAAGTCACACAAGCTCGCTGGAGCACTTCGAAGTAATTTTTTGGTGTGTTAAGAGAGGGAGAGATCGAGAGAGTTTTAGCTTCTTATCAAACTCAGGCTGTATAAATCAATCCATCCCTAGAGGAACAGAATTCGAGCTCCTTTATAAGGATGCAACTTCAGCATCGAAGCCACTGATGAAGTATTGAAGACATGGAACCCCTCTTGAAGAATGACACTTATGAACAATCCAATGCACGCAGAGCTTGAAAGAAGTGGTTGTCCACACGGATCGTTCCTTGCAGTCGTTGAGGAAAGTTTTGGATCACTCGTAGGCAATTATTTCAATAGAATTCAGCACTAAAGTGGCATCGGGCAGGTCGCACATTTCGACTAGTTTTTACAACCTGATATGTCGATGAATTGATGTGGATTGATCATAGCTTATTGGGCTATAGCGGAGGAGTGACTTTATGAAATCTTATTACATAAATTAATGCACCAAAATGATATATTTATATTTTATCTATGTATATATATATATATATATATATATACATATATACACTCAGCTTGTAGTTGTTAGCATGCTGAAAACAGACAAATTACCAGTTTTTGAAGTGCACAAAAACTCTTACATGCAGTACTTGGTAGTAGCTTTTGAATTGTTTTTTTGGTAAAGACACGCATTTGGTTTGTGCCTTTGGGTACCAGTTTGGTAAGAATATTTGTCCACATTTTTGAGGTTGTTATGTGTTTAAAATGATTTTTTTCTTTTTTTTTCTTTTTGTTGTTGAAACATTGTTGAAAAAATATTGTTATGGTAAAGTGGTCATAAATTTATATAGTTATTTATTTATTTATTTATTTGAAAGAAAAATAATGATAAATAGTTATAGGTTCTAACTATGGCCACAAACATTGTTACTCAAATCACATGTTGAATTTGGCAAAATAATATATAACATTATTATAACAGTTTGTTTATCTATATTAACTTGTTTCTACATTATATTGTGCAATTTTAATTTTGTAACTCTAAATTGAAATTTATTACAAAGCCAAGTCATTTCTATCTAAATGATGGAAGAAGCACCTAAAAATAATTAGCAGTGCAAAGATTATATAATCTCCAATTAACAACATAGGTTGTTAGAATACATGTATGCCTATGGCAATTGTAGAAGAAAAAAACTTTAAAGTCATGGCCCTAATTATTAATGTCTATTAGAGAATTCTTCCTCTTGCTAGTAGACATAGCTTTAAGATTTGACAATATCCAACTTATTTGCAAGCATAGCAAATCCTCCCTTTTTTCTTTTTTATTCTTTTGTAGTAGTTCCATGTACTTAAGTACATACAAATCTCAAAAAATAGAGAATGCCACACATGTAGAGTTCTTTGCTTGTGGTCTTCCTTTCATTCTTCAAAATTAGCACTCTAGCAATACTTGAGATTTTTTCTAAGTCAAATGGTGTAAATTCTTCACTATACTTTGTTGTTGATGATTTGGGAGGTTGGCAAAGTTGTTGCATATGTCCTCTAATATAACCAGTAGTGCTACATTAAGTTTTTTGATTTGCTTAAAAAGTAATGAAACTTATTGAATTAAGTGCCATTAATCCACAAAATTAGTCATTTCTAATCTTTGTTCTTTTTGCAATGAGATGTTATTACTTGTGCTTGTATAGTAGTCTCTATATGGTTATAAAAGTATTACAATAAGGTTTTTTTTTCTAATACAAGTGTCCTTATGGCAACTTCCAAATTCTAATTAATTTAATATTTTATTTGATATTATTGGTCTAATATACATAAAGGTTTTCAAGTAAAAGCTTAAAATTACTTACATACTTAATTTTTCTATTTATTACATATTATTTTAAATGTTAATTTGATTTTTTAAAGTATATAAAATAAATAATTAATTAATTACATATTTCTTTAATTATATATTTTATTTTTTTAGTATTTTTTTAAATTATTATAATAGATTTTTGTAATAGTTGGTCATATTATTTTAGCAAGTAAGTTTTAAAGTTTCAATAATTTATATTTCCTTATATAAGCCATAAAGATACAAGTTTTTATTTCATAATTTATCATAATTATATCTATTCATAATCAATGTGACATACACTTCTAATATTTTGCATTTAATAGAATAAATTGAAACAATATTTTAAAAAAACTTCTTTAATCCCATTTCTTTTGATTGTTGTCTTTTAATTAAAACTTTAGCATGAATAATTGTAATAAGCATTTAGTATAGAAACCACATGACTCTATCATTATAAAAAAACCATTAAAAATTAAAATATTTATGCATGTTAGAAGATTGGCAATGCCATATCCACTCATGTTGTCCCCACACAACTTCATATGAAAATATTCTGATCATATAGCATGTTTAATTCTTGACATTATTTTCTAGAATATCTATAAAAAAAAAAATCTTAACTCCATTTATGTTGTTTACCACTTCTCATTAAGTTGAGTCTAAATCCCTCGCCAACTTTAGCTCTTAAATCACCATTTCTAAAATAATCCAGTTTACACTTTCTCACAACCAATGAATGTTGTAAGGTTTGTAGCAATCTAGAATCATAAGCACTAGGCATGCATATTGGTAGCTGCACCTGAAAACTACCACGAAGGAGGTACTTTCCTGGGACGGTAAGTTTCGGCAAAACGAATGCATTCGAGTAGAGAGAACAACCAAACACATGCACTCAGGCGTGCTGTAGCAATAACAATCCCACAAACAATAGCAGCTTACACCTTCAACGTTATTCAAATTGATTTCTACAATTCCAGTTGTGTGACATGAAACCTCAACTACAATACAATTACTGTCTCCGTATCTCCATTGAAGTCATCTAAATCACATGGAACTTCTAAATACGTTAATACTGCTCAACAATCCTCACTAGCACATTGAAAAAAATAGGTTTCAAAATACCTGCTGAATTATTTCATTAAAAAGACTACAGTGCACAAGAAAATTTGGAACTCTACGTGAAGAGATAAAATTGTTCGCTTTACAAAAAAAAGAAAGCTAAGCCTTACGAACTCCAGTTCTCAGCCAAGAAGATTTGAAAAGAAACTCCTGCAAGCAAGAAGAAAGAACTTCGTCAACAAACTGTCGTATGAAAACTAGAAGAAATATCATCACTTGAAAAAGATGACGCAAGGAAAATACAAGATTGACAATAGTAAAATCCAAATTCTTAAGTTTCCGATGCGAAGGAACATGTACCAGATTCCAGTAGGTGCCGATTGGGCCGTCCTGCAAGCACAACCCATACCCCGGTAGTTGCTCTTAGTGCATATTAAGACAACCTACGGTTATCAGTGCAGAATGCTGGGTTCATCCAGAATATGAAGAACCGCGATTCGCAGCAGGTATAACATCAGTATATTTAGATAATGCATAACATGTTATAATAAAATAGACCATTAAAAAAATAAAGGAAGGAAAAGAAAAAAAAAAAAAAAAAAAAAAAAATACCTTACTATCCCATTGTACGCGTCACTGATCTCAGACCGAGTTGGTTCATGGTCAAATGATGCTATGAGTTTGTAAACCTCAACACCACGGTCTAAATCAAACCTCCTGTAAATCTCATATGGTCCTGGATATGCCATCCTGCCAATCCCCCTCAATCCAAGTTATTTCACACGTCCTTGTTGCTGGTACTCACACTTTCATTATTGATTTGAGTGCTTGGTTATTACAAATATTATGAACTTCATATAAAAAATTCGCCAACAATACCTAAATGCACCGACAATTGGGTACTGGGTGCCTGACGTGTACATGAGGCGAAAATTGTAGCAAGTGAAAAAAGATTCGGCAAACTCCATCCTTTCCTGTCGTCCACCCACCTGCTCACTTCGAAGCCAAGACTCCTATTAGCTACTAAATGAATCTATGTAAGCTCTACAACTAGAATTGCTTCATGTTCTAATACACGACCAACCACTCCGCAAATGCATTTGCTGCTATTCCCACAGGTTAGAACACAAAGGAGGAAATTGAGAAATGGTAAGGATTATTTCTCACTTGCATAATTCCACCAGAGGCTGGAATATCCTGATACAAAAATTTGCGAGAGGTTTTAGGAGCAAAATTACAAAAAGGAGTTTAAGCTACACTCAAAAAAATTCAAGTGTTACTGACGCCATACCTCACAACGGTATCTGCTCGCTTTATTACTCCAGAGGTGGGACTAATACCCATGGAAATGATGTTAACTTCTAGAATGAGTAGAGACTCTACATTTGCGGAAATCATGTTGGCAATTGAAAGAAGAAATCTATTCCAAATGACTGCTTGTGAGATGTGAGATAGCACACATAATACCTGATACACCAAACAGTTCAAAAATGCACATACCTTAAGTTTCGGATTGAGTATGATAACGGGTCTGTCACCTGCTGCCTCCACCATTGCTTTCAAATCCTGAATCCAAGCATAACCCACGACTCATGTAAGGTAAACGATCATGCTGAAACCAAATTTCATTAAGATTCAGACAGCATAACTTGTGCTTCTAATTTGAATGGTTGTGATAGCAATATTAGCCTCCAAAGAATCATAAAAAGAACCAAAAATATAATAATGTGGACCACCAGACTCATGATTGTGAGGATTAACTCTCAAGTTATGAAGGATACTAAACGCAAAACCAGAGACATCATGACTTACATCAATAATACAATTTCCAACAGCATTTTGTGGTGCCATCAGGATGAACATGTCGTCATCATCGTAAACCTCTTTAGCACCTGTAAAATAATCAATAATAACAGGAGATAAGAAAAAGAAGACACATAAAAATCAGAACAGAGCAGGGCATGAAAAATTACATGGAAAAGATTGAATGCTTCACATGGGGAGTGGGAAAGGGTAATTCAAACCTACAGCGCCGAATCTAATGAAGGTGTCCTTCTCGATATACTCGCCCCAGTCCATGCGCTCCAGCATTGGACGGGTACCTGAAAGTGCTAATGGCATACCTGAGAATATTCCTTCTCCCATGGGTCCTTGTACACAAACCTACATAAATAAATAAAACCCTATCAAAATGTTTCAAATGAAAATGTCGAATCCACATAAGTTGAAGTTTCTGCAGAAAGGACCAATAGCCCAGAAGAGCTCAAGTTTTAAGTGGACAGTCGGACTTCAATATGTAGAGAAATGGCCTAACAAACTGGTAAGCACTATAAGTCATAGCATCACATACTCTGACGCGTTTTCCATCATTCGCAAAAGTGAACGCAAGTTCTCGTATGAGTTCCAGCAAAGTCCCTATTCTGTACACATCCTGCACCACAGATAACGAACTTCGTCAGTAGGTTACCTTCAACGCATCGAAGAGAGCGCAAAGTTTTTCATCTGAATCAAAAGAATACTCAACAACTTGATTCATCATTCAAGTAAGCCCACTACAGAGTACGTCCAACCCCAGTGAAAACAAATCGCAGTCCATTTAATCAGTACAAAATCCAGGTGGTACTAACAACGCTTTAAATATTGCAATTCGTGAGGACTTACCATTTCAGGATTTAGCTCGGGAATGGTAAGCAGGACCTGTTGACAACCACCAGAATAACCTCATTGTCCAGGAAAGGTTACTGATTACTGATTACTCGCTGGGATACAATACCTTCTTGAGCGTTTGTTGATGCATACTATCTGCTGAAGGCGAAAAAATGGAATCCAGAACCAAGAAGATTCACAGATCTACAACAGCCCTACTTACGTCGCAATTATAGGATGTTAACCCCACATCGTAACTGGAAGTATTGAAAGGATGTACTAAAAGCGGTAAAATAATTGCAGCCTGACCAGAAAGATCCAGACCTTAAGTTTATGCTTTCCATCGTCAATAGCATTCTTAGCTGCCTGGCACGCGTCTTTGTAGAAGTACTGACGAATCTCTCTTGAATGTGGGCATGTGTTTAGTTTTGTCGGCACTCCTCTCCAACCAGAGACCTTCAAGGAAGTCATTGGGTCAAAACCGAAAACTACTGCAAGGCTTACATTAATTGACGACAAAGTAGTCCCAAAAATTCTGAAAACCTTACGCTTCTGCAATTTGATTCCAGTGAGGGTTGCGCTTAATTATTACATGATTTACGCAGAGCATGTTCCAGAACTTGAGTAAGGAATTCGCGACATGACCTTTTCTAGTTATGTTGTTGTCAGATTGTTGTCAAGCCCTAAAAGTGTAACAAATTGCATTCCACCATAGCCAGAAGGCGTGAAGAGAAATCGCACTATGACGAAGTGATTTACCTTGTCACCAGTTTCCAAATTAGGGGCACCTTCAGCCCGAATCTGCCGCACGGAGGCAATCAGTACTGGCATCAGAAACGTAGATAGACCAACCGGCAGAAGAAACTAACCAGGAATGACTAAATATTGAATTAAATCATGAATTGATTTCCCAATTGGTTCGAAATTTCTTCACACATTGGCGTCACAACAACATTTTCACGAGACTGTAAAATCAAAAAATTGGAGACAAGTTGCACTTGACCAGCAAATGATTTCACACTTGTAATCGGCGAACATCCATTTCCAAGACCAAAAGAGGATGGAGCTCAAAAGGAACTTAGTTACGTGCACAAAAGTTTGAGCAGCCAACGGGCGATGGAAGGAAGTACCCGCAAGCACGGCAGGCTTTCTCCACCTCGAGAATTGAACACACTAACAGTGTTATCGGCGATGACGCGGGCTCCACCGAAGCTCGAATTCAGCCGTCCGAGGCTAGAATTTGGAGGAAGAATGGGGAGGGACATTGTGAGACATACCGAAGACGCCATGGCCGAAGCATGCGATACCATGGTATGCTGTTGAAGCCACAGAGTACAGATATGACGCTACACCAATATTTTTTAAGTCTTGGTGAATTAGGAAAGCCATGACGTAGCCATGACAGTTCGTTAGCATTTCCACTGTGTCATCCACTTTCTGCAAAAGCGATCGAAAGATTTCTGGATTCGTAAAGTAGATCACATTCCAATGGTGAAAAGTAAAGTTCACGCTCAGATTTGAAAATTCGCACTGTAATCGCTTTCCCTCAATGACGGCAGTATTGTTTACGTGTCGCAACAGGTTCTTAATAAGCTAGAGTTTTCGATGAATCTCTACTAGAAATGTTCATCGGACAGCTTCCAAGGCCCACCGCTCGGTGTGAAAGTCTTTTTAAGTGTAGACAATCGAGTTGAGTTGACATTATCTAAAGCAGAATTCTCTGCTCTGAATTCCAGTTATCGATGTCCAAACAATAGCTACAGGAGAGTATGGATTGCATTAATGAATCGTAGTCAATGTGTTGAGAATTTGCTAATTTTACAAACAGTGCAAATCAAATTTCATGCAATTATTAAGAGTTATAATTGACTAGGAACAGAGAAAAATATAAGAATTTGGCTATAAGAAAGTGTCACGCACAAAAAGGAACCCTGCAACGCTGATCAGAAGATTATGTGAAGTAGGCTTTATGGAATTTTCCGCCTCGTCATCACAAGGCAACCCAACCATTGTTTACTTTCATATCTCTAGGTTACAAGGGTGGTGACCAATGTCGGAGATTTGCGAAGGCAAAATCAATGTAAGACAAGATGCCACCATCGAGAACCTCCTGGGCATTAAGAATTGATGATTATACCCTTAAAATGAGTGATTCAGAACTTGGCATGAACGAGATCCAACACAACCCATTGGGCAACTCTAATCAAACAAGCTGAAGCCCATGTCGTCATCACTCTCCTCCTTCGGTTCTTCCTGTAAAGTTACAATATAATGTAAGATATACGAATAAAATATAAGATATACGAAAGAAAACGAAACACTCTGCACAAGCATTCACCAATTTACAACACAAATTGCAAGCTACGCCGAGAACAAAAAAACTACCAGAAAGCTATGCCATGGGCAGAGATTGAAACCCGCATAGATGAAAAACGTTGCACAGAATGTAACGTGAGAGGATAAACCACATGACAGGTGCATTTTCCACTGTAACTCATAATTAGAACTTACCTTCTTCTCCTCTTCCTTGGGTGCCTCAACAGCAGCGGAAGCAGCAGGTGCTGCACTCACAGCGACTGCACCACCACCACCTGCAAAGCACCGCGATTCCAAGTAATTCAACGAGAGTTTCCTGGCAATTCATAACCTAAAAAAGATGCCCAGCAGATTTACGTCCCCAGAAAATCACCTACTAGTGATAAAAACGAGTTTTAACCCATCTCTACTTACCACCTCCAACATTGGTGACAAGGTCATCGACGCTCCTCTTCTCGCATAGCTTCGCGAATAGAGAAGGCCAGTATCCCTCTACGGACACGTTAGCAGCCTTCACCAAAGCTGCAATCTTGTCGGCCTAAAATTACCATGTGTTCACATTAGGCAACTCTTCTGAACAGGCCTCACATGTGGTGCACCATAAGTGAAACAGATTCATCCACACCAACCACCCGTTCCGCAATTATCATAAAATCACTTCAACCACTGAAATGAAGCGAATAGGTCAACTCCAAAAGGAGCGAAGACTGTTAACATGTTGAGTTACAGAAAAACAACCGAAGACCCACACCCTTCGAAAACCAGCTCTATGGCATTCCAGCGTAGTCGACATCAACACCTCCGAGACATCTCAAAATACTACACACTAAGATTCAATACACAACATAATACCCAAAACCCTAAAACCTCAGCAGAAGCCTCTTAAGGGTAAAAAAATTCAACAGAGTCCATCGAAGACAATTCTATGTCTCAGCAGCAGAACTAAACCCATCACTAAACCGAGAAACCCCAACGACTGCGGAAAGAATCCTACCCGATGCTCTAATTCAAAGCTTCTGGACCGAAGTCCCAGCCCAAAAACCCTAGAAATAAAAAATAAAAATAAAAACACTTGAAGGAATGCTTACAGTGATGGCAATGCCGTCATCGTGGAGGATGAGACAGGCGTAAGTGCAGGCAAGCTCGCTGATCGACATGGTGGCGATACGGGATCGAGGGAGAGCTCGGATCTGAGGGAATTGGATGAGGAAAAAGACGAAGCCAGGTGGGAGCAGGAAGAAGAAGCTTGAGGTGGGGTGAGGCTGGCACTTCGAGGCACCCTTTTGACCTAATCGAGATATACACCGTCCGATCAGGTTTGGATCGGACGACTCGATGTAACTTCTACAGAATAAGCCAATGCTATGCACAATGCCTTTAAAATCGCAACAATATGAACTGTCGTGGACCTTACTAACTAATCTTTTTAATGCTTGATCAACAATTACTAATTGCGTTACCTTACGTTGTGAAACAGATTTGAATCTTATTGATCATTAAGGCGAAGAGATTTGTAAGATTTAGCGTTGGCATTAAGTGAGCTCTAGAATAAATGCATTTTCCATGGCTAATTGTAAAATGATAATACATTTCTGTGATAATGTACACAGGAATACAAAGATTGCTGAGGGATAAGTCTAACCGTGTAGGTGTTATTATGTACAATTAAGGCATGTGTTGAGTGAATGTAGTTTGTTAAAGTAAAACCGTTTATTATATCATAAAATAAACCAAATAGCTTACTTTTAGTTTTGCTTTTAGTTTTACTTTTAGCATTATAAATGATTCTCAAGCATCGAATGTTTTATATCAATTACTCACCTGAAACTTCCACAAAATTATTTGTGATATTGCCCTATAATAGCTGTGTACATTTTCAAGGTAAATATTTCTTGATATTGATTAGTAAATCAAGTAAATTTTCAAAAAGAACAATTCGAGATAAACTTTCATCATTTTGAAATGAGACAAACTTTCATCATTTTGAAATGAGATAAACTTTCAACATTTTGAAATGCATAATAAGGTTAAATAAATCAATGTTCAGGTTCAATTTGCATTCAAATGGGACATACGTGTTTTAAAAGGTATATATTAAATTTTCCAGAAAATATAAAATCTGGACATCAAAGCTTCGTTTTTTACCAGTTATTTATATAATAATAATACATTCAAATATCCATGAAACATTTGCAATAAAAAAATAGTTGTTTGAATAGATGTTTGACCAGACAACAAAAAGTTAGAAGAACGGGTGGAGAGAGAAGAAAACCAAGTCGAAGACCCACGACGACCAAGAAGACGACAGTGGACCACGAAGAAAAGACGACGACGACGATGACGACGACGAGAGGTTGGGGGGGCTAGTTTTGGCATGAATGGAAGATATCAATGTGGGTAGAACCATTAAACGCTGCAAAACTTATGTTAAAAATTAAAAAATGGGTAACGGAGACATAATAGAAAATTGAGCGAGGGAGGGAGTGAGAGTCCTCCGCAGCCAACTTCTTAATCCTACCAAAGATCTCTCACCGACACCCAGTGCCGCTACAACTGTACCCAAGACTCACACCTCCGGGATCTGCATCTGCCTGCCTGTCCTAAAGCTCGCATCCATGTAACGACAGCTAGGGTTTGAGTGTCGGATGTGAAAATCGCTGCCTTTTGCAATAACACATCCACTTCCAAGTGATCATGCCACAGAAATGGGAGAAGACATCTGATGGGACTTTCTCATGGGGTTGAATGGGCTTCAGCGGCTTGAAGTGGTGGGAAGAAAAAAGGTGAAAAATAAAAGAAAAAAATTAGTGGGTTTGAGCGTCGGACTTGTGAGAAGGAGATGAACTCTCATCGAGTCTCTCCAGCTTAGAATCCAGCAGCCGCAAATTCTCCTCGTCCTCGCTGACCTTCTGTGATTTCTGCTGTTCCTTGGCCTTCATGGTCTGCAGTTTGGCGTAATTGTAGTAACAGACGGCGACGAAAGCGATGCCGTAGCCGAAGAGATTGATGAAAGTCACTCGGTCCAAGATGACGGACCAGGAGAAGGCGATGAGGAGCCAGTCCTTCACCACGCCCGCCACATTCATGGTGAGGGCGGATGTTTTCCCGACCAGAACAAAGACGGCGATGTTGAGCAGGAACGCGACCATAGAGTTGAGGCCGAACGTGAAGAAGTCGAAGTGGAAGGACGACATTACCAGCAGCTTCGGCCATTCGATGAGATACCAAGGGACAGAGAGGAAGACAAAACACGCGGGCGCGACGTAATAGAGTGTTGTAATGGGATTGAGGGAAATTCCCCGGGAGTTGAGAAGAATTTGGATCAAGACAAGACGGAGGGCTTCCACGCATACAGCCGCAAGCTGCAGCGTGACACCCCAGACATTGAACCGCGCCTCCCCGTAGGCCGCAATGGCGACACCAATGGAGATCATGACCATGTTAGCCATGGTCGAAGAGTTGAATACATCCTTCTTGAAAAGTACCCCAAGAGAGTAGACTGCCACCGGCATGAGCGCCTTGAGCATCTGGATGAAGGAGACGCTAAGGTAGATGTAAGCCGAATTCGAGAACCACAGAGAGAGCGAGAAGAGGAGGCCGATGGGGACGATGGACCTGAAGTAGAGGTCCTTCGTCATCGCGGCGCAGGGCTCAACCAACTTCAGCCCGCGCACGAGGAGGAAGGCGAGCCCGGAGGAGAACGCCATGTGAATCATAGTCAGAGAGACTGGGTATGGCCAGTTGTACATTCCGCGGTCAAGAATATATTTGTTAAAGATGATCACGGAGAAGCTGAGAAAGATCCATACTGCGACATACGTGTAGCTCAAGACAATTCTCTGTAACACGCCGCTGTTGGCAGTGGCGCTCGACCCGCCCTTCGCCATTGCGAGACTGTGGGTCAATCCCGACAGTCAGGGCTGGCCGGTTTATTACTCACCAGCTCCGCTACAAGGTCTCAGAAAACCTGAAGCCTGCCACAGCAATTTGGTGGCCCCTAGGTCCACGAGCTCACGAAAATAGATGGTCAGGTGTTCACTCTCTCCACTTCTCTCGCTGTTACCTAATGGAATCCAAGTTACCCACATCAGACGCAATTTGAGCTTCCCCGAACGAAAAGGATGACATACACCCTGACAATCAGTCGATGCTGCAACCAAAGCAATCACATTCCTGAGGACAAAAAGCAATTTCAACCCTTTCGCCCCGAGTAAGGCTCCATATACTCAGACTGAAGCTTAAAGAAACCTAAGAGCCCGCCTCCTAATCCTCCGAATGCACTTCGTGAACAGGAGCTACAACAACAAGCACATAGATCTGGCACAAAAGCCGGCGACAACACGGAGAACCGTAGTATAAACAAAAACAAAAACAAAAAAACGAGAAGAAAAGAACACTGGCTTACCTCGTTCTGACCCGCCTGAGCAGGGCCCGCTGCAGGTAGAACTCACAATAAACGGAACTAAAACAGACGCCCTGCACGCTCTTTATCCAACCTTCAACGGTCCGCACCTGGAATCGATGCACCCCTTCTACATCTACTTCTAATCACCTTCAGAGATCGACCCAAGGAAGGCTAACACAAGCGCGAGCATGACACCCTCATTCTCAAATAAGGCAGGCTATCACCGAAATGACCGCCCACCTGGAAGGAACTACAGTAGCAGAGTTACTAAAAATTCTTTTTCCCCCCGTGCTTTTCCTTGACGACCCCTGCCGCCAATACCGAGCTTTTGGATGCTGATGCTAACACCGTCAGAGCTCTTCCCTTATCGAGACTTTGAGCAAAAGTATGCGGATTTTCGGGGGCAGACATGCACGTTCACTTTGAAAAACAACGAGGACAAGGAACCTGCATTCACCTCCAGTCAAATTTCCTGAGTTCCGAAACTCCACAGGTGCTTTGGGGTCCTCTCAAGGCATATCCACAGCAAGCCCACGACTCCCCCTTTGCCGAAGATGTTCAGAAACTACCAAACCCTAGCTAGGTTCGCATGGACGTGAACGAGCGGAATCCCAAAGACACGTGATCATGTGGCCTCATTCGTTACCGATGGCTGATTTGCCAAAGACTGGGAAACACGTGTGCGATGTGAACAGAAAGATGGGAACGTGATTGACTTTCGTAGAAGCTCTAGTGTTCACGCTTTGGACCATCCCCCACAAATCCTAATTTTGTTGATGGGCTGGGAAGCATTTTCTTTGCAATGGAGAAAGGAAATGGGGTCATGTAGAGCTGGTAGTTGGGTTCATATTAGCCTTCAACCTCATGGGCATCAATGGTGGTACCCTTTATGACTTGCATGGGTAAGTCTTTTGGTTGGTTGGTGATGGGGGGCACATGTCCTTTATGCCACTTGGGCATCCATAGATTCTACTATGTGGCAAGGAATAGTCTCACCTTGTGTTTGTTTTTTCAGATGTTTCCAATTTTCTTTTTTTCAAATCCCATTTTGACACTTCTTAATTTAAGTCATGAAGCCATGCAAAATCCATTAAAATTACAATCTTTGATGTTGTTAACAAGTTTTGGAACCTGAAAGCTCATTGACTAAATAATAGTGCCTTGTATTTAAGACTCTGTGAGGATGAAAATATAAAAAAAAATCCAAAAAAATTGTGAATATATATATATATATATATATACACGATATTGTTTAGCTATTTCACTTGCCAACTCTTTTGTATAAAAAATTTCAACTAACATGTTAGGGTGTTAGATTTTTCACTTTAAATATATTACAATTGTATGATTACAATGGATGTGAGTGCATGAACCAATACCAAGCAATACCTTTCAATTCAAAACTTGACCATGTTGTTTGACCACACAACTGAAAAGTATAAATTATGCTTAACACACATCTCCACTTTGACCACCATGTAGTGATGCTCATCCACACAATCAAACTAGCTTCAACACCACAGTTTTCATTGCATCTTATATAGAAATCTGAGTGTGTTTTGGACAATTTCAACAAAACAAGAAAGAGTGATATCAAGCTGTTGAATGGTAGTTTCAACTCATCTGTCCAAAGCAAGAAGAACAAAACCCACCAATTCTCAAAAGCCACAGGATAAATCAAATCATGGGCTGTCCCAAGGGAAGATGATTCTGCACAAAGAACAAATAAGCCATTGGTGAAATACTGTGAAGGAAAAAGTTTGAGGGCTGTGAGACTACAAATAAAATGTAAGTGTCAATGCTGTTGATAAAAAAAAGCTACTGAATGCATGGAAGAGTTGTGGGCATTCCACCAATTCACAATTCCAATGCAATCTCCACAACAGCTTGTCACTCTTCCAACTAACAGATGGCTGTGTTGAAGTCAAACCACCGGTTAGGGTCAAAAGCACTTGGCCAGCAGACCCGCCACGTAGGCGCCAACTCAGCAACTTAGTTGGTGGGTGGGTAGCCAGTAGGCACCTGGTGGACCTGCAGCCTCTGACCCCCCCCTCCCCTGGATCCAGGGTGTGGAAAGCACCGATTCTACACCCCACCCCACGGAATCTGGGCAGTTCATCGCTCCATTCCACCGCTTGGATGATTATTTGCTCATTATGGGCGGAATTCATCCGATTCATGCCCGACATCCAACGGCTTCTGAATCTGCATCCAGGGTGCAGGCAAATTCCGGCAATCGTTTTCCTGTGGGAACGTGTGGAGAGAACATATATTCTCTACTTCTGACGAAAGGGCACAGTGAGTCTTCAATTATCATGGATTTCAACGCAAAATACTTGAATTTGACTAGCTCTATCATTGTCCAAGGTTTGATCTTGAAAATAAAATAACACAAAAGATAGCATGAGAAAATTTAAAATAAACCTTGATTAGAATGAAAATTGATGATGATTCAATAAGTTTCAATTATAAAATATAGGTGTAGAGAAAAAAATTGAAATAATTAACATACTTGAATATAAATCAAATTATATATATATATATATATATATATATTTAGGGAGTTGTTAAAGCCACACCACCCCTCCCACCTCACGATCCATTTTATACATGTCTCTTGTCCTTGACCCCATTTCCAACCTCTATTCCTATCTCCATCCCTAGCCTCACATTCAACATTATTAATTTCTCTATTACACTCTGGACTTGTTATAAAATATATTTAAGTATCCTCAAATATGAAAAAAATCTATTTTATTTTATTACTATTAAAAAAATCTAGATAAGTAATTTATCATTATTTTAAATATTTTTAGAATTTAAAAAATAAAAAATAAAAGAAAAAAATCTATAATATTGATGCTTGTAATAAATTTGCAAAATATTTAACTAGATGCTTGAATAAAACATGATTTAAAACTAGAATGTTTTTATTTTATTTAGAATTGTCTTTAATTTGTATATTTTTAATTTTTTAATGCTTATAAGTTATTAATTTATTTTGGTTCTAAACATTATTTCTTGAAGAATGATATCAAGTATAGACATCATTTGCAATTGACTAATCCAAATTCATGTTGTTTTTTTTGTAAATTTTTATAAAATTATCTATTTATTTATTTATATTTATATATGTAATAAAAAATATATATTTATATATATAATTTTCTTCTTGAACTTTTGGTTTAATTCATATTTGTTACATCACTTGAATAGGAACAACTCATATTTTTCTCTTCCAAGTATTAATTGCTACAACCTTGTGCTATATAAGCCAAATTAATATAGCTTCCTTACAAGCCCAAGGGTTAGACGAATTCTCTCTTCAATTAAATGAAAAGTCTTGATTAAGAAGATGAGACCATTTTCATGCCATAAGATTAGTAGTATAACTATTACTTTAAAGAACCACTAAAACCCATCTGATCAAGAGTTCTTTGGTGGTTTCTTATGGATGGATGATGCTAAGACTTCTTTCTTTACAAGCTTTACAAATAATATGTTATGCCACTTTAGATTGAGTTGAAGAAATAGTATTTTTCAACAAAAAGTATTAAATCATTGATTTGTTTTTTTGAACAACCTTTAATATAAGCAACCTATATGACTAAAAACAAATATAATAAAAAAAATAAAGTGTTATTTATAATGATGGTTTACTTGCTATATTAATTAAAAATAAAATATTATTTACAATGATGGTTTACTAAATCAATATGACCTTTGATAATAGTATGTTAAAATCAACCTCTAGCTAAAGTATGGTTGATCATGGCAATGTAGTAACTAATAATAATAACCAAAAGGTCTAGAAAAATTCAATACTTACTCCATTTTGACTTGATGGTTTGCTCTTAGCCATCTCTTTTATAAATTTTTTAATTTAATACCTACTAAATAACTTAAATAAATCCTTGTTCATATTCTTTGAAACCTTGAATAAAATAATATTAAGTAAGAAAGTCATGGCTTTTTAAAAAAATTATAATTCTTGATTTATATCAGTTTGAATAAAAATCATAAATTTTTTTCTTCTAAATCTTCAAGATTATCTTATGGCACACCTTGGAAATTTTTGAATTTTATAATAATAGATTCATGATGGAAATTTCTAAATGCAACATAAGATAATTTATTTGTATTATCTCTTATTTGTGTCTATTTAATCCAAGCATGTATTGACCTCCATTATTGTTGCCAATCTCTAAATGGCTTAAAGAAAATATAGACTTATTTAATACAAGCTTAAATGTCTATATCTTGAGGATTTTATTAAAGATTAAATAAGGCTTCTTATAATTAAAATTATAATTTGATGTGTTTTTTTGATTGCAAATATACTTCTTCTTTATAAAAAGACTTTTAAAAACATATAAGAATTTGCATGCAATGAATAAATAATTCTTTGCTATTATGGTGAAATCAAATCTCATTAATGTATTTAAGAATCAAATGATTGTTGAGATAATAAATATTTATTTTAAAAATAGATGATTTAGATTTAATTTTTTTTGAAATGAAAAGTGAATTTAATTGAAAGATGATTAAATAATGTGTAATTTTTTCTAATACAATAGTCTTGAATTTTTTTTTTAGAAAATAAAAACTTAAATAAACTTATCTTGGCTCACATCCTTACTTTCTATTTTTTATTGTTCACAGAATGATATAATGAACTAACTTAGTTGAAGGTATTTACTAATAGAAGACAAGAATTAAAATAAATTTAAGAGTTTTTATCTTTGGATAGTAGTCTATTACAAAAAGTTGATTGATATCTTGCTTTTTCAACCACATTCTAGTCTCTACCAAAGATGAATAGAATATTAGAATATAATTTGTTACATAAGTCTTTCCAAAGTTGGAATTTTTTAAATTTATGGTTGGGTGTATATATGTCAATAATTCCAAGGATATCAATAAATATGATCTAAAATACTCTATTATGCATAAGAGCCCCTACATTATTAACTAAGTATTTAATTTTTGGAGAGATTAGTATATATACATGTACAAATTATGCACCATGTAGATTTTTTATATAACCTAGTGGTTTCTAAAATGTCAAAACCAATATTAAGCCACAAGGAATTGCCCAATTCATGGATCCTTGATTTACATAACTTATTCTTGTGAATAAGTATAATACCGCATTTTGAATAAATGCTTTAGATGTAATTACAAAATATCAATATTTTTAGAAGGTTATTTAGATCCTTTAAATTATAAAATAATATCTTTTAATTTATAAATTATTAGAAGAAAAAAATCTTAGATGCATCTTGTTAATATGAGGTTGCTTTTTTGAAGAGATAAAATATTTTTTTTTTTTAAGATAAGAGCTTGTTTGTGTATGTAAAGTGCACATACTATTATTTTTTTTGATTTTATAGAAAAAAGGGATTTTTTTTTCTTGATTTTTGGTAATCATTAGTTCAATGATTCTATTCATATGCTTACATCATAAATTTCAAGTCTTAAAATATTTTTAGGTTGTTCAAA